AACAGTCCATTTCAGCTCACTGATGCCTAAGATATCAATCTTTATGTGTTCCATTTCATTTTTGACAACTTCCAATTTTCCTACATTCATGTTTCGTACATTCCATGTTACAATTATTAATGGATGCTTGCAACTGTTTTTTCTTATTCTGAGTCATGCCATATCAGCAAATGGAGGTCCCAAAAGCTTTACTCTATCTACTTCATTAAGGTTGGCTCTACTCTGAGAAGGCAGCTCATCCCCAGTCATATTTTTAGTGGCTTCCAACCTGAGGAGCTCATCTCAAAATTAAAACAATGCCACAATGTTCCTTAACATGCCTGCTAATGAGAAGGCCAACTGCTCTGTAGGAGGAAGATGATGCAATCTACTTTGGTAAACCCAATGAGGACTGTTATGAGTTGGAATCAACTCAATTGCAATGGATTCTGGGTTGAAAGGTCAGAAATCAGCCATATTGGGTTATGTCATAGGGTGTCCTGTGAAAAACCAACAAATACTTGGAATATTTGAGTTTTGCCTTCATTTTCCAGAAGTGGTCTAACTCAGACAGCATGTTTGGTTCCTGAGAAAGTCAGTATGCAGAACAAACTAGTCTCAACCCAAAAAAGTTATTTCTAGCCAATTTCAGTGCGTGGTTGAAGGCTTTTTTGACAAGAGTTCATACCACAATCAGAGCCTTTGAGAATGGAGGGTGGGGAGGAAGGAGAGACCTGAAGGATTCATGGAAAAACATCCTGTTTCTAGGAGCTCCCAATGCAGGGAGAAGTATTCTCTTCCTTTAACAGCTTTTGAAAGTAGTTAGGAAATGCCCCGAGCGCATTTTTAAATGGTTTAAAACCATAAAATACTATAATGAAAACCTGATCTGAGAAAATATTTGAAAGGGCCAGCATTTTTCCTTACCCTGGAATGATTAAATGAGCATTAAATGAACTGTGAGAGCTACTTCGGCATGAGTATTAAGACTTGATTATTCCCCCAGTAGCCATATGTTCACATGTTCATAAGTGAATGGGCATCTCAACAGTATTTTTTAAAGCACGTTTGGAACACCCTAGTATAGAATGCTATTGTTTTGAGTTAGGTACATTTTTCTAAGAATTTTTAGTTTCATGGATATTTGTATAAGATTTAACTAGTTTCAACACTTGTGGAAAGGATATTAATTTTTTAACAAGAGATAGTATTTTCATGAGCCATTTTCTTGTTGCACTAAATCATGTTTTTAAGAGAAAATGCAACTTATTATGTGAATAGATATACAATATATCCCTTTTCAATTATTATTTGATTCTATTGCACATATTTTCTGAAAGGTATTTTTATTTTCACATGCAAAAGTATCAAATGATAGCTCAGAGTATCAGAAGATGGAAAATAAACAACTGGTTTAGTCTAGAAATGTTTTTCTCTGATGCTTTTTTAACTTATTCTGAGAATTTAGCTCAGTTTCCTAAAATGATTAAAAGTCATCTGTTGATTTTTGATGCTGTAGTTTTTTGTTTGTATTGATACAACCTTGTATTATACATCTGAAAACTATTATATAAACTCTAACTGGCAAATAATTCTTCATTCCCATCAATGTGGATTTCCCTGTCTTTCAAGCAGCTGTGTAGTTTTATAAAATACTGTTTCCTATTGGCATTTATAAATTGGAAAGTAAAAAAAAGCTCAATAAATATTAATGTAAGTTTATTAACCAATTAGAAAAATAAAGATAATTATTTAGTGAAATTTTTCATTTTATAAATGTAAAAGTCAACAACTGCCCACTTTTCAAATCTATAAAAACACTTTTCAGTTACATGAGACTTTATGTAAAATATTTGGAGCTCTGGTAGCGTAGTGCCTAAGGCACTCGACTGCTAAGCAGAAGGCTGGTGGTTCAAACCCACCAGCCACTCCTTGGAAGGAAGATGGGGCAATCTACTTCCATAGTGATACTGCCTTGGAAACCCAAGGAGGGATCGCTATGAGTCAGGTCCGACTCAACGGCACATAACAACAACATCATTAAAATCGGATTCAATTGGTTAGTTTGAAAAATAATTTGCTTTATACTTTTAAGTCATGTTTCACATTTATCATTCCTTTTGCATCATACGTAGCTAGCAAGCACAGTATAAATCATTATTCCAACTATAAATTAGGTTAGAACGTGTTATAAGATTATGTAGTGTGTGGTTCTGCCTTGTGACCATATCAGAACCATTAAAGACAAAGCAGTTTCATTTAGAAATTCTATGAAGAAGGATGTGGGTTGATTTAGTGGTTTTGATTCAGATCAGACCTATTCAGACTAAAGGAGTACAATGAATAAATTCTAGTTGAGATTTTTGTTCTAAATTCAATAACAGTTCACAGCTTTTGTTCACCCAAGTACACCTTTACTCAGGTGTAGTTCACAAATCAAGAGTAGTCCTTAAGCTGATAACATTGCTTTTTAACTGCATACCTTTTACCAAAGCAAATAATGTTTACATTCTTGAGTTTAATTTATTATTTGTAATATATATATATATATATACATATATATATATTCTTTTTGAATTCTTTGTGTTTAGTTAATTCTCTGTCTAACATTATTATAATTTCGCTATGTTGATATTTCTATTACAAATAGGAATTTGTCCTATAAAAGCTAATGTGCTTTGAATTTGCAATATAATGATCAACAGAAAAAAGATCAATTACTTCCAAAACAATTAGACATAGAAAAAACTTCTATTTTGAAAGCCAGACCCACTATAAAATTTAAAGTTATAATTAGTTCCTCATCTTTCTTAAATAATTCGAAAGAAGTAGAAGTGGGTTGGAATTTGTGATTTCTCTGGGGAAATGGTATAAACATTTGTAATAGCATTGACATCTCAGGAAACTTTTGGCTTAATGGTATGTGGCAAATTATTTACCCTGAAGGAAGACATTGACTGAGGTCATGGTAGATATATGAATCCCAGATGTGACACATTTTCATTTTGTTTGACACAGGAAGCTGACACGTAATTAAAGTATGATTAAGAATTCTTTATTCCTTTTGAATTCTGTACAAATATTCAAATCACACTATAGTATTTTACTAGTAAAAACTTTAAAGCTGTCATTAACTCATGTTTAAGCATTTTCTTACATTTTCATCTCCTTAAAAATGTAAAAAGGGCCTCTCTAATGTGGGGTGGTAGGGCTTGAAATTTTTCAGGAGGGAGTGAGCACATTCAGCAAAGTCAGACCTAGACAAGAGGCTGCTTCTCATTCTCTCCACCACCATAGACCCATCCCACGCACAGGTCATCCTACGAACCATGGGAAACATTCCTTTGAATATGTTCAGGGCATGTTCAGGGCAAAACTATAAAGTGCCTCTGATACTTATCTACTCTTCTTTCTACCCCATATTGTTGTGCCTACCTAGTTTGAGACAACCCTCTGAGCTCCTTATTTTCTTCATTTCTCCTCTTTCTCTACTAGTACCTCTGTCTCAATTCTTTCCCTCCACCCTGAGTAAGTTACTACACAGTTCCTATCTCCTTCCAGATAGAGTGGGTGATGCTGGGTTATTCATAATAGTGTCCTCCACTCTTCTTAGCATTCATTCCACATTCTTTAACCTGTATTTCAAAACCCTGTTTCCTATTGATGTCCAAGCCAGCCTTACCTATGATTTCACCGTCACATTTTATGCTCCAACTATCCTGAATTTCTATAGGTTCCTCAAACGGTGTCATGTTGTGCTCATCTCTAGGCCTTTGCAATAGCTATTCCCCTACTCTACTGCCTAGTACATGTAAGATGCTCATCTGTATTTATTGAATGAAGGCAGCAGATAATTGATTAATTGACTTATTGGTTAAATCAGTTAGTCTCTAGTAATATATATGTTTAAGTATTGCCTTTCAATGTAATACTGTCATTGTCTTAATTATATTAGTGTTGTGTGTTGGGATTTATCTGTATCACACAAATATGTGTGTGTGTGTGTGTAATTAGAGAAGTATAAAGGAGAAAGAACGTACTCATTTTGTCTAGGGTGGGGTAAAGGAAGAGTTCTACTTCCAATTCAAAACTTTATTAACCGATACATTATCAACTATTTTTCATAGCTTTTCTGTAAGAGTTTGTGCATCAGTAGCAGGCCAGAGCATTTCAAACACAATAGGTGAGCATGTTTTCATTTCTACACTCCTGTACTATACTAAGAAAATTGGACAGTAAGCATTTCTCTGCACAGAGAATATAAATCTAAAAAAGCTCTTTGTTAATACCATGATTTCTATTGTGTATATGAAACCTTCTACATAAATATTACTTGAATAACTGATATTCATATTATCTGCAAAAATATGTATAATTACAGAAAAATGACAATTTGTATTAAAACTTACGAACAGTGGTTTTTTTTTTTTTGCTTGGGAAGTATGTTATAAAAATTTTTCAGCCTATGTATTATTTTTGATCCATCCCAACTATGAAAAAAATGTTTTCTGAATAAGCACTTGAAATAATTCTTATCTCTGATATAGCATTGCATTCACTGAATAATTTTCCTTTCCTAATTGTGTTTACTTTTGTCTGTTCTTTAGCCCTGACAGCTGAGGTGCAATTAGATTCACTGAAACAAAAAGGAGCCATTAAACGTACTCTCTTCCTTGACAACCATCAGGCCTATCTCATCTTCCCTTTAGTGATAAGGCGGCAGAAAGCCTTCCAGTGCCAGGACTTTATGGTTTACCTTCGAGTAAGTATATCAGAAGTAGCTTTTCTGGCCTGTAACACTGGAATCCAAATTCAAACCATTTTTCTCTATTTCCCCATCACAATTCTCTACGTAGATCCACATCTACCTATTTTCATTTTCATAGGAGGAAACTTGAAGTCACACACTCTCCTCTTGACTCTTCCTTCAACTCATCTAATTTTGTGTTGCTTCTAATTTCTAACGCTTCTTTCTGATTAAAAAAAAAAAAAATCCCAGTAATGGTACTGAATTCAAGTGGTTTTCATTTCTGACTACCCCTGCTTCCCAAAAAAACATAAAAGTTTAACAGAATTTATTTGGATTTTTATCCAACATGAATATGTTTTGTCAAATCTTTTTAACATACATTTCAGAGACAACTCAAGAAAACTTTGAGTGTTAACTTTTAGACATTCAAAGTTTTTATTAAAAGTGTTTTTTTATTATTATTAAATATTTTAAAGTAATGTTTTTACAAGCACTCCAAAACACCCTACAGAATTAAAAAAAAAAAAAAAAATTTTGTACAGCAATGATCCATCTTCATTTTGCTGGTTGTTGAGCTGGTATCACTCTTTCTTATTTCCTCCCCTTCTTGAAGGGACTTTAAATGAGGGGAAACTTGGGGAAGGTCAGATGTTCACCAACACACTCTGGAATGAACAGTGGGATACAGTGACTTTTGTATCTTATTGTGATCTCGACTGGCACACAACCGAAGGGAGACATGCCTGCTACACAGTCTGAAATGGTCCTGTGTGTACAGTGCTTCCTGCTGGGTGCCACTCCTTACTCATGGAGTTCTGTTTCTTTTTCTGAGAGAATTTCAGATGGGCTGAAGATGTTTTGAAGTTCATGCAAGCAAGGGCTCAGTATAAAGAGGTGCTAAAAGTAAACATGTTTTCTTCCTCTGAGCCCAAGAAGACTTACATATTCTGCCAACCTCATGAAAATAAAAATGTTAAAAATGCTAATTTCTGATACTTTTAAGGACATTTGTTGTATGTATATGTATTATTTTCTACTTTGCAACTTGACTGATTCTGTATGAATCAGTGAAGGTCTGGGGAACCTGAAGATTACCTCTAGAACATGTTCCAGTGAAGCTACTGCTCTAAATGACTTCATCTCTGAGCATATATTAATTGTGGTACCATATACCACATAAATCAGCATGTGTCTAAGCCTGCTGCAGTGATAATGGCTTCATCACTCACTTTCATTGACTAAAATCAAATGTTGTCTGCCTTTCACAGACTAACATCTTGCAGCCATTTCACAGAGCCTTTTTGAGTTTGTGATTATTTTCCCTAGGATGAAACTGAATTCCGAGATAAATTATCTCCAATCAACATTAGTTTGAATTACAGCTTGGATGAATCTACCTTTAAAGAAGGCCTGGCAGTGAAACCAATACTTAACCACTACAGAGAAAATTCTGTTAGTGAGCAGGTAGGTCCTTAACCATCTCTGATGTTCACTCTCAAGCAGGCACTAAGTGTTGTTCCTTTGACCTTGAAACCAAAGCCAGCTCTTTTTGTTTGCATTCTTGCACACAAACACATAGCAGTTGGGAATTTTTCCCAACATGTTTCCTAAAACACTGCATTGTTGTGTTTTCAGAAGCCCTTCTCCTTGTGCAACCAAGATTTAATTTGTTCAAAATGTGGCTATAATGGAAGCAAGGCAGCCTGTAATCCTCAAACATTGCCAGAGTAGCATTCTTTACAGACATTTTAGGATGAATTGGAATTGGGCTGTTATGTAAACTAGCCTCTATTGGGAGGTCACTGGGTAACATAGGGTGTATATATAGCTAGGGAAAATCATGCATGGTGAAAGGAAAGTCTCATTTCCATTTGTGGAATTGTTAGTTCTTTTCAAGAAAATGGGATGTGATTCATGTTTTCCAAGATATTCCTGATGCATGTTTTGCATGACACAGGCTCACATCCTGGTGGACTGTGGAGAAGACAATATGTGCATTCCTGACTTGAAACTGTCAGCTAGACCGTAAGTCTAAATAAATAAACTTGTACATTAGATCTAATGGGATACATGTGTTTATTTAAAGCTTCTCTGGAGAAAGTATACACTTCCAACTGCTACAAAAAAAAATACACTGCATGAAATTCTTGAGCTTAGCTACACTTTGTGTGAGCCTGTGGTTTGGGTCAGTTCTTTGTCATTGGTGTCAAGTGACACACCCTAAGATTTTTTGCCTGGGCTGTTTGATCTTTCAGCAAATGTGAAAAGAAAAAAAAAAATGTTTTTTCTTAAAAGTAAACTCATCCATTGGGTGGCTCAAGTTCTATTTACTTACGTGCCTCAGTCAAGTAGGCAAAGGATGCCGGCGGGCTAGTTCCATCTGCAATTCAGCCAGACTGGTTTTTGCAGCACCCTGGGACAGTCTCCAGTAATCTCAAAGCCATTCTTAAAATTATCAAAATGAAAGGAATTTCAATTTACTGAAAATAAACTTTTAATTGGTACTTTATGGAATAAGGCAGAAATTGTCATAAAATCAAGCAAGAATCAAAGGGCATTATGAATGAATGCCAGTAATGGAGTCACCAGTCCAGCCTTGGTAATTGGACTGCTTTTTGTTACCAAAAGAAATGGGACTAAGGTAAAACATCCTTTGGTGGAAAAAGCAGCTCTGTGCTCCTCTTCTGCCCAGGAACCATCTTGTTGTGAGTGTCTGGAATCTCCTAACCTCTCAAGGGAATTTTTCCCAAACTTCACAGTTTAGCAAGTGTCAAAAGCAATACCTTTCAATAAGGGTCAGAAGTGGAATAGACATTTCCAAAAGTTGGTTCAATTTGAAGTTTGAAGTGAATCAAATTTCTTCAAAATCCTCTATCAGCTAGTTAAAATCTCTAATTTTTCTACCTATTTCTTGCCTCTAATAGTCTATTTTTCATTACTTGTCTCCCCCCTCTTACTTTCTAAATAATTCTCTTCTTCCCCCTGCCCCCATTGCTCATTTGAAGAAAATTATGTTTTTGAAGAAAATAATGGCTGTTTTCAACGATGTGCCAAACTGCCTCATAGTAGTTCGGGAGCCAGTCTTTAACTCTGCAGGGAGTTTTGCTAGCAAGTTGTGAAGTATGTTGGTAGGTTGAATTGGATCACAGTGAGAGCATTTACAATAGGCAAATATTACAAATCAGAATTATTATTTTTTTCTTTTTTGAACTGGTTGTTAAACATTTACTTGCACAGGCACTGGATGATCTCTATCCTTCTCCTTCAGAGATGTTTCTTTTAATGCTTCCCACCATCCCTCATGATGCTGCTACTTCTCTTTGTCTCAGTTTTGTGTTCAGATGAGTACTTAAAGTGTCTGTGAAATCAGAGAAGTGTAACACCTAATGATTCTTTTTAAACTGCATTTCTAGAGATAAGCATCAGGTAATCATTGGAGATGAAAATCACCTTATGCTCATAATAAATGCAAGAAATGAAGGAGAAGGAGCCTATGAAGCTGAACTCTTTGTAATAATACCAGAAGAGGCAGATTATGTTGGGATTGAACGCAACAACAAGGTAATGCCTGCCAATTATTTGAAGTTGTAAAGAACTAGGTATGTTGTCAAAGTCAAATAATGTTAAGTAGGGCCATCTTAGATGAGAGTTTCTTCCTAAATAAAAGAGGACAAAATGATACTTTACTTTGTTAATCATGATAGAAAGGAGTCAAGCAGAGGGATGGGCTTAAGCAATATGACTGTCTTTCTTTGCCATGTTGTTGTTAGCTACGACTGAATCAACTCCAACTCGTGGTGAGCCCATGCATGTCCATATGATGTTCAGTGCCTAATTTTTCAGAAGTAGATCATTGGGCCTTTCTTCCAAGGTATCTCTCAGTGGATTCAAATTTCCAACCTTTTGTTTAGCAGCAAAGTGTGTTAACTATTTGCCCACCCAGGGACTTCTTTCTGTGCCCTCGTGCAAAGGTGAATTGGCCAAAGATTACAGTTAAACTAAGGAAGCAAACTGACTGAAAGAAGAAGCTTAACAGTGATCAATAAATTTCTTTTGTCCCCTGGATAAAAGCTACTCTCACTAGCTTTTCAAGCCTTGTTTTGAGTTTCTTTAAGCTTCAAGCTAGTCACAGAGGCCTGGTTTTCATTATTGTTGATGGAAGAAGGTCCAACCAATCTGTGTTGAGTACTGATAACAGGCTACACAGACACTGGAAAGAAATATGTTCGTTTTTCTTAATTCTTGGTCCACCTTTTCAGGATTGTAGCCAGAAAAGCTGAGTCTTCCTCATGTACCAGTCGTGAATACCACTGACACTGATGCTATTTATAGTCTTCCCTTTCGCTATCACAACTTTCATGTTTCCACTCTGAGTATCCTCGGTGTCTGTTTTTAATCACTTAATCTGGAAAACCACAATAAATACATTATAGAATAATAGAGAGAATACCTCAGTTTCAGAAATATGTATACTAAAAATTAAGGGCAGAGACAAAGTTTAATATTTCTTTTATATTCATCACTATACTTCATATTGTTGTTGTTGTTGTTATGTGCTATCGAGTTGGCCCCGACTCATAGCAACCCCTCCTTGGGTTTCCGAGGTGGTATCACTACAGAAGTAGATTACCCAACCTTCATACAGGACTCAAAAACAACAACAACAACAACAAAAAAAAAAACTCACTGCCGTGGAGTTGGATCCGACTCATAGCAACACCTCCTTGGGTTTCCGAGGCAGTATCACTATGGAAGTAGATTGCTCAACCTTCCTTCCAAGGAGTGGCTGGTTGGTTTGAACCGCCAGTCTTTTGGTTAGCAGTCAAATGCTTTAGGCACTATGCTACCAGAGCTCCCTCACATAGGACTGTTGTTGTTGTTGTTATTTGCCGTCGAGTTGGCCCCACATAGGACTAGGTACATCATAAACCAAAATAAAAACAAAACAGTTTCCATTGAGTTCATTCTGACTGTGGCAACCTCCTGTGTGCAGAATAGAACTCTGTAGAATACCCTTTCCAGTGGCTATGACCTTTCAGAAGCAGATTGCAGGTCTTTTTTCCAAGGTGCCACTGGATGAGTTCGAACTGCCAACCTTTTGGTTAGTAGTTGACCATTTAACCTTTTGTGCCACTCGGGGACTCCAGGCACATTAATACCATAAATACCCACTGCTGTTGAGTTGATTTTCATTCCTAGTGACCCTAAAGGACAGAATAGAACTGCTCTATAGGGTTTCTAAGGCTGCAATCCTTATGGAAGCCTCATCACTCTCATTGAGTGGATGATATTTTCCAACTGCCAACCTTTCAGTTAGCAGCTAAGCAGCCAAGCACTTAACCACAGCACCACCAGGGCTCCTTAGATACATCATGGTGCTCCTTAAATACTTACTGATAGATTCATTCACTTAACAAAAATTTATTAAATGCCTGCTAGCTTCGAGGGAGCTCTGGTGGTGTAGTGCCTCAGGCATTTGACTGCTAACCAGAAGTCTGGCAGTTCCAACCCACCAGCCACTCCCCAGAAGGAAGACTGGGCAATCTATTTCTGTAGTGATACCACCTCAGAAACCCAAGGAGGGGTCGCTATGAGTCGGAAACTCAACAGCAGTGAGTTTGGTGTTTTTTGTTTTGTTTTGTTTTGTTTACTGGTTTCTAAAGACCACATACTCTGAGGAGCTTGCAGTCATGTAATGACTGCCTAATTAATTTAATGACAGTTCCTCTAAAGAGATATTTAAAACTGTCATATTGTTGCTGTTGTATAAATATTTTAAAAAAGCAGTGAATATCAAATTTCTCTGTTTACCTCTAATATCATGGTTTATGTTTTAGTCAAAAAGCTCAGATGAGTGATAATGACTAGTCTTTGACAGTCATATAAAATCATTAAGTGTTTCTGTTGAAAAAAAATCTTAGAATAATACCATCAATAATTATTTAAGAGAGTGCATGGTTAGGGCCTGTTTGGCGATAATGGTGAGGTATAGATTTCTGTGGGTTTTGTTTTATTTAAATGAATAAAACATAATATATTAATGTATTTGAAGACATTTTTGCTCAATCCTAAAATTAGAATGCAAATTATACATCAAAAAGCACAAAGATGAAGCTCAAGTATGTTATTTTTTAAAATGTTTCAAGGCTCCACTCATACTTGTATTTCAATTCCCTGTGTGTTACCCTACCCCACCCTCCATACCCCCCACTCCAACCCTCACCCTAACTTCATGAAATAAAACATCTATTGTTCAAAAACAGTTTTCTTTTAGCAAAATGTCAAGTTTACTGTTTACTTCATTACATGGAAAACATGGGAGGGCCCTTATCACTTCTATCTTTGGCTGTAGACCTTACTGCAGACATTATCCATAATCACAAATGAGTCCTTAACTGTTTTCCTCTATCAATTTCCCTTGGGCTGAGATTTAGCTCAATCTTTGAATTTTACATGACTAAGCCACATTCTAATTTCTTCTTTGTTTTTAAGCAGTTTGAGGTTTGTGTACATTTTTATTTATACCCAATTCAAGTATTTTTTTTTTTTTTTAATATTCCTCTCAAGGGGGAAAGGCATTAGGGTTATCTGATCGTGAGTTTTATTTTTCTTTTGTTGAAAACATTGATCTTTTAGAAATTATAGATGCTGATCATCTTTTTTGCTAGACACCTTAACTGAGTCAAACTTTACACTTCCCCTAATTTTTCTAGTAATAAAGGCCTGTGTGCCTTATCTTTAAACTTGTGTAATGTAACAGGAGGAGTCTGGATGTGCAAGTGGTTTGCAGTTGGCTCTAACCTAAAAGTTGGCGGTTCGAACACACCCAGCAGTTTGCAGAAGAAAGGATGGTAATCTGCTTCTGTAAAGATTACAGCCAAGAAAAACCTATGGAGCAGTTCTATTTCATAACACATGTGGTTGCCATGAGTTGGAATCTACTCAACAGCAACAATTTTTTTTTAAATAGGAGCAAAAATAAAAGGTGTTTAAAATATAAGCAAAAGAAAGAATAAATCCAAGAATGAACTAATGGAAAATGGTTTCTGAGTTCTCTTGAAGCAAAAGACAAATACAAGCCTGAGGAGGGGATGCAGGCAAAAACTGAAGCCTCATTGGCCAGTTTTGTACCTGAACTGTCTTTCCCTTATAAACACTTGGAGAACAGAGACTGGACATTTACCCATATCAGTGTTCTAACTGGTTCATTGTGTGTAGCCAAGAAATGTCATACATAAGCATTCAGTGCATTTTCTAGCAAATCAGTCCCTGTATCTATATGCCATAGGTACCAGAGAAAACATTTGTTGATTGATTAATTAATTGGATATTAAAGAATAAAAATATCTATTCAAAATCTTTACAAGTTCAGAATATTTTTATCTGATGGAAAGTAAAAAGGCAGTAATTTTTTAGAATCCCAACTGTATTTTAATTTTAAGTTCACAACCATAACTCTAGAATACCTTAACTTTATAGGTCACCAAGCCTATCAATTGTTGTATCCATAGCTTCTGTCCCACCTACTATTTAAGGGCATTCTACCTGCCCATAATCTGGGTCCTAACCCTCCAGTATTTCAGGGGTCATGCTCCATCAATAGTCCCTCCTTCCTGTATCATCTGCCTCTCCCCCACTACTGGCTGCTTCTAGTTGCAAAAAACAATTATTATTATTATTTTTACTATGTTCACAGATGCTAGGGAAAGGAGTTTGGACAGGGTGCAGTGGTCTCTGCTCTACAGTGTTTTGTTCCTCAGTTGGGGAAATTCAAAGCCTGCAGGTGACATGGTGACGAGGAGCAAGAATCATCAACAGTCCCCTTCACTCTCATGTCTTGTGGTTAATCTTGGCTCTCAGCATGGACCTCAGCTGGAATGTCAGCCAAAACACCTATAGATGGCTCTCCATCTCTCTTTATGTGGGATCTCTGGGCTTCCTCATAGTATGGAGCCTAAGTACCAAAAGGTATCATCCCAAAAGAGTAAGGTGTAACTACTTGGCATTTTTTTAATATTTAGCCTCAGAAGGCCCAGAGCACCATTTCTGCTTTACTCTCTTAGTTAAGGCAGTTGTGAAGAACTGTTTGGGCTTAGGCAGAGATTCCCCTCCCATTTGAAAGTAGGAATGTTAAAGTCACATTATTAAAAAGGGCATATGGAATGGAAAATGAATTTAATCCATAAACTTTCACCCAAATCACAATTAAAATATATACATATATATAAGCTTACTGCCGCCAAGTCAGATCGAACTCATAGCGACCCCTCCTGGGGTTTCCAAGCAGTATCACTGTGGAAGTAGATTGCCCAACCTTCCTTCCAAGGAGTGGCTGGTGGGTTTGAACTGCCAGCCTTCTGGTTATCAGTCAAATGCCTTAGGCACTACACCACCAGAGCTTGCTTTTATATATATATATATATATATATATATATATATATAAAACAAAAACAAAAGACACATAGAATGGTGGATACTGTTGTACTCACCTTTGGAAAAATACAATATACTACAATAATCATATAATCCTCCCTTGACCCCACACTACCTTCCTATATCGTTTCCTTATCTCTACACGCCTTCACAAACTTCTTTGAAAAGTTGTAGTGGTAGTTTGAGTCCTCCAAGAAGCAAATGCCAAGAAGGAAATAAAACATGCATTGATTTTATTAGAGAAAAAACTCATGGGAAACAAAAAGTAAGGGAGCAGAATAAGGCTGGCAGAGCCATTAATTTCCACACACAAAAAAAACAAACCAAACCCATTGCCATCCACTAAATTCTGACTCATAGCAACCTCTATTGGGTTTCCACTGCTGTAAATCTTTATGGAAGCAGACTGCCTCATCTTCCTCCCGTGGAACAGCTAGTGGGTTTGAACTGCTGACCTTCTGGTTAGCAGCCAAATTTCTTACACACTATACTACCATCTGCTCCATGGAAGGAAGACTGGGCAATCTACTTCCGTAAGATTTACAGCCTTGGAAACCCAATGGGGGTCACTTGAATTGAAACAACTCAACAGCAGTGAGTTTGTTTTTTTTGGTTTGATTATGCCACCAGAATACACACACACACACACACACACACCCCAAAATAAAAAACCAAACTCACTGCCCTCAAGTCAGAAACAACTCATAGTGACCCCCCCTTGAGTTTCCAAGGCAATATCTCTATGGAAGTAGATTGCCCAGTCTTCCTTTCAAGAAGTGTCTGAAGGGTTTGAACTGCCAGCCTTCTGGTTAAGTCAAATGCCTTAGGCACTATACTACCAGAGCTTATATAAATAAGTATACATATATAAGACAAGGACCTTCCTCCAGAGCCCGCAGAGAGACTTCCCCTAGAGCCTGTGCCCTGTATTGGGACTTCTGGCCTCCTAAACTGAGAAAATAAGCTTTTATTTGTTAAAGCCACCCACTTGTGGTATTGCTGTTATAGTAGCACTAGGTAACTAAGACACCTTAACCTTTGAGAAATGTTGCTGTTGTTGTTGTTATGTGCCGTCGAGTCAGACCCAACATATATATATATACACACACACATACACACACACATACACATATATATACACACACATACAGTCACACACACATATATACACACACTACACACACACTTTGAGCTATAAATAGATTAGAACAAAAATGTCCTGGAAGAGCTGAGAAAATAATCTAGAAATATCTAGAAAAACAAGCATTGTTTCTCCAACTCAGAGGAAGTAAAGGTTTAAAAAAAGAAAAGGAATGGGAGGAAACACATCTTTGATAAATGCCATAAAGCTATTTCTAGAAGATTGAAAAAAATCTACATATAAACTTTAACCTTTAGGTGGGATAAAAATACTTACTACAGAAGCTAAATCCTTAGTTTATATTCAAAGGACATATGGGCACTTTTGAAAGCTTTTGCTGGGTTCTTTTTTTCTGTTTTCAGGATAGAATTAATAACAACACAAAATCTCTCTCTAAGATTAGGGTTAGTTACAGATCTTTAAAAACATTTAAAAAAAAATGTTTTGGATTGAATTATGTCGCCCAAAAATATGTGTTGCAAATCCGAATCTCTTTGCCTGTGGTTATAATCCCATTTGGGAATGAATTGTCTTTGTTACGTTGATGACGCTACATTAGTGTGGGATGTATTTTGAGTTAATCTCTTTTGAGATATAAAACGAGATTAAACAAGTGAGCAAGAGAGGTGGGGTAAAATAGACGCCAAGACACATGGAGATCTCCAAGCAACTAGGAGGCGGAAGCTGAAGAGACAAGGACCTTCCTCCAGAGCCCGCAGAGAGAGAGACTTCCCCTAGAGCCTGTGCCCTGTATTGGGACTTCTGGCCTCCTAAACTGAGAAAATAAGCTTTTATTTGTTAAAGCCACCCACTTGTGGTATTGCTGTTATAGTAGCACTAGGTAACTAAGACACCTTAACCTTTGAGAAATGTTGCTGTTGTTGTTGTTGTTATGTGCCGTCGAGTCAGACCCAACTCATAGCGACCCCCTCTTTGGGTTTCCAAGGCGGTATCACTATAGAAGTAGATTGCCCCACCTTCCTTCCCAGGAGTGGCTGGTGGGTTTGAACCTCCAGCCTTCTGCTTAGCATTCAAGTGCCTTAGGTACTACTCTACCAGAGCTCCCTTGAGAAGTGAGAACACTGAAAATATATTTCTCACCTTCCTCAGAATGCTAAGATGTCATTCAGGGTATTTGGAGAGAACATTTATTAAATGGTCCTTCTCAATATCAGTGATTTATTCCTTTCTCATTAATTAGAACAGACCTTTCAGTGTTTATTTCTGGTGGCACAGTGCCTAAGGCTTTTGACTGCTAACCAGAAGGCTGGCAGTTCAAACCCACCAGCCACCCCTTGGAAGGAAGATTGGGGCAATCTACTTCCGTAGTGATACCACCTTAGAAACCCAAGGAGGGGTCACTATAAGTCAGATCCAACTCCATGGCAGTGCATTGGGGATTTTTGTTTTGTTTTGTTTTTTTTGGTTTTTGATTATTACAGTGTGATGAGGAGATCACTGAACATTTTATATGGAAATTGTCAAATGGGAACCTAACTTGCTGTGTATACTTTCACCAAAAACACAATAAAATAATATTATTTTTAAAAAATGTAATGAAGAAGAGGAAAAGAAGACTTTACAGTTAGTTGTGTACATGTCTGTTTCATTGTAGGTTCCTCTTTTATGAAAGGGTGGAAGCTCCTTGCTCTGTCTCCTGACACTGTCTACAACTTTGTGCCTGATGCTGTTCTAGGCACTGGGGACAGAACAGATGCAAACATCCCTGCCCTCCTGAAGTTTAATATTCCCAAAATATATAATTTACCTACAGGATTCACCTTATAGATGTATGATATTTGTTTCATTTTTAATTGCTTGCTTGCTTGTTTATATGTTTTTGTTAATAAAGTAGAAAGAAAGAAGTAGAGGACTATTTCTAAATCTTACTTGAAATTTCACACTACTTCCTGATAGAAAATTTCAGTATTTTCTGAATACTGACAGGTAAATAAATAGTCCTCACACTTGGAGCCATCTCTCCATGGACCTTTCACAGGTACAGAAGTCCCCAAATTTCTGTGAAATTCTTCTTTGTGAAAGTCCTCATACTGCAAGCCTGTCTTTGGGGATGCAGTTGACTAGTAATGTATTGGTAGCACTTAACAAGGTAGAGTGAAATAACGGATAGATTTAAGTAGATACCACTAAAAGCAAAGATCCCTGTGGCTCAACCTTTAAGCACACATCTTCTAACTGAAAGCTTGGTGGTTCAAACCCACTCAGTGGCTCTGGGGAGAAAGACCTGGCAATCTGCTCCCATAAAGATTACTGTTTAGAAACAACTATGGGGGCAGTTCTGTTCTGTTACATGAGGTCACTGAGTCGGAATCAACCCAATGGCACACAACAACAATATCACCAAAAGCAGAGCAGAGCCATAGGGACTTTAAGTTTTAAAGTATGGAAAGAGGCTTGGGGTGGAGAGAGAGGAGTGAGTTTCTAGGCTGCTGGGTGGAACATGAGGACATCAGGTAGAGCAGGGAGTAGAGGGCAGTAGTTCAAAGATAAATCTCCTTTATTTCCCTCGCTGGTCTGGCATAACTTTGAGAAATCCAGATTGTTTAGTGCATAATTCTAAGCACCTCTTTAAATTGAGTTTTTTAAAACTTCAATCAAAATAGCATATGGGGGAAAGGGGAAGACAGGAAACACTGGGTGAAACATAAAAGTGTTTTTTTCACACCTTAAGTATTTGGAGGGTTGAATTAAGATTGTGAGATCTCAGAATGGAACCATGAGACATGGTCTGTAGAAACTTGTGTTTAAATGCTCATTGAATCATATGATAATATATATAATATATATATATATATATTACTATTATTTCATTCTCCCAAGATTAATATCAGGAACATATGTGTTTAATCATATTAAATCATTTGTGCCTTTCATACCCTGAGTTTAACATTAACATTAGTGAAAAAAATCCCCCAAATGTTCATATAGATATTCTGGTAAGCATTTTCTTCATCAATATTTGCCAGTCCTCCAACAAATTTCTTTCTAAAGTTAAACTCTTATCTTTTTCTCTCCATTTTCTCTTCTGAGTTCATAACCACAAACTAATTCCTGTGTGTAGTTACTCACACAGGTGTTTGAAATCAAGGGAAGCTTCCCAGGCCCTCAGCATCACTTTTGTGGCAGGATGTGATTTATTTTGCCCCCCTGAACTCCACGTTGGTGTTCTTTCCTGTTGCAGGGACTTCGGCCACTGAGCTGTGAATACAAGATGGAAAATGTGACCAGAATGGTGGTGTGTGACCTCGGGAACCCTATGGTGGCTGGAACAAATGTAAGAGAAAACCAGAAGCAGTTACTGATTTCTATCTAATTGAATTGAATTTTAATTTAATTGAAAGCTACCCAATTAGCACTCAGCAGCTTTAATACAGAACAACTAGAACAAATTAGGCAGGAAATTAACTAGGGTAGTGGGTTTTAGCATTATAGCCTACAAAGAGTGAGTAGCTAGGGTTACTAACACAAAAAGTTGAATACCTTTATATTCCTCTTTTGATATCACTCTTACATACATGGCTCTTAGTTGCAATATATATATGCAGACAAATGTTTTCTTTGAGTATGTTTCCTTTGCATTTTATCACAGAATTTTCTTTGAACTAAAAAGAAATGCAGTGTAAATAAAGGGCAAAAGAAATATCATGATTAAAACAGGCTTTAGCAAAGATGATTAACTTTTACTTCCATATGCACCTCCTTTGTGAATATCACTCAGTATTTTTATATAAAGATAATTACCATAATCCAGTTTTTAATCCACTTTATCAAGTCTGTATTTCCCATGCATCTTATTTGAAGAATCACACAGAAAATCATTTGTAGCAAGAAAAAAAGTAATAATGATTTGTAATATATCTGCAAAAGAATAAGGAATTGTTTTCCTTTGTTTGTTGTTTTTTTCCAGGTTTAGGAACTTTCCATGTAAGATTACTTGTAGACAATAAATTTATTTTATGCAATCACAATTTTAAGTATATACATAGTGACTACTTGCAGTAAATATCACAATGAAAATAATTATTTTATGAAGACATAAATCAGAAGAAAAAATCTAAAATCAGCAAATGGTACATATTTATATCTTACATAAATTAAACATACATATTCCTCTATTTAAAATTAGATGTTTGTGATTATGGATGAAATGCTCTGCTTGAGAAAAATTTCATGAAAACTTGTGTGGATTTGTATTAGAACAACATTTCTCAAAGTGTATTCCAAGGCAATAGGCCCTTGAGATAGTACTTTCATTAGAAGGGAGTTCTGTAGTCACTGCTGAGTATCGTATACTCCTAGGGAGACTCCACACACATTCACATTTTAAAGGCACTTGGAAGTCCTGCAGTAAATAAACCTTTTAACTCACTGCTTCACACACTGATTTGAGCATTTGAAACTTTTTCTCAAATAGTACCTGTTTCCAGTTTATACTTTAGGATATTGTATAGGATGTTGATTAGTAATATGTTTGTGTTTTTATACTAAAATAAACTCAATTACATTAATCATAAATATTTCTTAAATATGCCAGACTAATAAACTCACTTCTTGGGTTAAAAGAAGTAAATATTTAAATGGAAAGTAAACTATAACAGATTATTAGTAGCTACCATATATTGATTGCCATCTATATTATAAACCTATCACTGAGTGCTTTTGTATGTTATCTCATTTAATTTTCACAACAACCCTATGAGTCATGCATTTCCCCTATTCTATGGATGAGGACAGTGAGGCTGAGAGAAATCAAATGAATTGCCCCAAGTCACACAAGCTGTAAAGGACGGAGCTAGGATTCAAACCAGGCCTAACCGTAAAGCCCATGCTCTAGCCAGGCTGCAAAATTGTGAAAATTATTTAGGGAAAAGTTAATAACAGATGAAAGACAGACTAGGATGTTGAAGCAAAGCTATTATATCTTCATGATAATCCTTTGATCTAGAAGCTAATAAGTCATTCTGTTCATCTTCAAGAAAAATCTAGCCACTTAGTTTGGTATTTTTTTCAGGCCAAAGAGAAATGAATTGAAAGCATGTTAGCATCTGTAGGACTGGTCACTTGTTCCTGTTTCAGTATTAAAAGTGTAGAATCTAGACCAGAGATCTCTAAGATCATCAATAACTAAGGATAGTCTTGACACAAAACTAGCAGACAGTGTCATTCAAGGTGGAAGGTAAACATGACAGTGTGGTCTTAACCACAAATGTGTTTATGTGAAAAGATGTCAGTCCATTTTACTGGCAAAATAATCTTTAGAAGTCAAGGAAGTAAATTGTTTGTATTTGTTTATCTCTGAGGTCCATAGCAGAAGAAACCTAATAGCTTTCTTATCTCACCCTTAAATGCCCTTAAACACATCAAATTTTATTGCATTCTGTTTTGTTGTAAAACAATTTGATTTATTTACTTCTTCATGTTCTACTTTAAAGAATATTCTATCAATAGATTATGGCAAAACTCCAAATGTAAAAGCACTGAAAATATTAAAATGAATCATAAATAGCTAGGAATAGTCATTACAGCCCCCATATATTTAAAAAAAACAGTTTTTGGATGGCTTTTCCATTTTAACTTAACAAAATATTTAAGATAGTATTCAGAATTTTTGCTTTAACATTTTTAAGTAGTAAACTTATTTTCAAACAATACCTAATATAAAATATTTCTATACCACTGAAAGTCATAAAAACACACAAGCTGGATAAGGAAAATTTGGTGGTTCAACAAAGGCTCTGGTATTTGGTACTAGTTAAAAACACATGCATTCTCTTACTAGGATGAAATTGTCATATCCCATGCTGAATTGTTCTGTAATGAAAACCAACATTAGGCAGGGTTTATCACAATATCATGAGATCCATATCACTGGGAGCATGCAGGCAATGGCTGCAGGATCGTTAGATTGACACTCTTTTGATAATGCTTGTTGCACCCCTCCTATAAGTCTGGCACTAAGCTAGACTTTGGCAATATAAGATGGAAACATATAATCCCCAGTCTATAAGAAACCTCTAGTTAGCAATATCATAGGTTGAATGATAGGAGAAAAGTAAAGAAAAACACAGAGAATAAAGAGAAAACTTGTGCCTGACCATCCTGTAGGATTGGAGGATGGGTTGCAGGAGTTACCTCTTGTTCTGAACCTGAGTTAGGATTCTTCAAGTAGAAAAAGCAGAAAATCTGAAGGGCTTTCAAAGAACATGGAAAAGCATGTGCAAATCCTAGCAGCCTGACAGAATTTGGAATTATAAAAGAATTCATTATGGCCGGGGCAAAAGGATACACAGACTTTATAATTAGACACATCTGGCTTTAAATCCTAGCTTTCCATTTATCAGCCACAATAGCTTAGGCAACACACACTGAAATGAGAAAATACCTACTTGGTAGAATATTTGTAGTACTACAATGGTCTACCATCTGTAAAGCCATTAGTACAGTGCCTAAATAGTAGCACATTCATTAATGGACCCATGGAATGACAATGATGACTATAATAAAATAAAAACTTACTTTTAGCTCATATTATTGGTTCTTAGTAACAGTAGTTAATATCACTGGTTTGTCTCATAATGTAAGTTCTCTAAGTGCAGATTCACTATTCCGCCAGAGCTCTTTGGAGTCAGATTGCAGGGATATAAATTCCAGCTCTGCAGTTTATCTACTCTGCACCTAGAGCAAGTCAATTAATCTCTCTATTCCTCAATTGTAAAATGTTAACAATAACAGTACCTACTTCAGAGATGGGTTATGTTGATTGCATGAGATAATGAATATCAGCATAGTACAGTGCTTGGGGGAAAAAGTAAGCATATGGGTTTATATATATAATATATACATATATATAAATATGTCTATGTATTATTTTACTTATTTATATTATCACTGGATTTCTTTTTTTCCAATTTTTTATGTATTTTCAAATTCTAAATATAATAAAAGCATTTTTAACACTTTGGAAAGTAAAAGAAGGTAGAAGAAATAATCCATGCACCCATAGTCTTAACATAAATGTAACATCTCTTCCTGATGTATTTCCTTACAGTACATCCTCACTCCCATAAAGTAAGTTTTCCCTTTACAGATTATTAATACTATAGCTGAAATATTTTTACGTACAATTTTATAATCTTTTTTCACTTAATATTATTACATGATAAGCATTTTCCATTGCAAAGACTTTGAAATTTAATTTCATTGCCTACATAAATGTCCATCATAGTTTTCTGAATCAGTATCCTCTTTTCTTTTGGGGCTGTTTTCAATTTTGCTCTACTGTGATAACACATTTTTGTGCCTCAAAAAGGTGTTGGGAAAAGAGACATATAGGGATAAACAGAGAGAAAAACAAACTAATAAAAGCAGTTGTTACTGAGTTGACTGACTCATGGCAACTCCATGTTATCAGAGTATACTTGTGCTCCATAGGGTTTTCAATGGCTGAGTTTGCCAAGTAGATTGCCAGGTCTTTCTTCCATGGCACCTCTGGGTGGACTTGACCCTCCAACCTTTTGCTTAGCAACCAAGCTCATTGACTCTTTGCACAAACCAGGGATTAAATGGAGAAAGGGAACCAAAAATGTTCAGTAATATAAATTGTCTAGCCCTGGGGTCTGGTTGCATGGTTTTCTCCTGGTCTGGCAGTGCCAGGTAGACACAGAGAAGGGGGCAGTTACAATGAGCTAGAATAGAGATTTTTGCAGGGCTAACTTCATAAAAACGATTTTATGCTGTGCATAAGGTCCCTTCCATGTAGTAACTATACCCCGTGTGATTTTTTATTTTTTCTTAGTATTCTCTGGGCCTCCGATTTGCAGTTCCTCGTCTTGAAACAACAAACGTGAGCATTAACTTCGACCTCCAAATCAAAAGGTTAGACTATTCATCATTAAAGAAATTTAAATGCCTGAATTATCTTCAACATTCAATATTAAAGAGATTAATGGCAAAATGAATGCCCTTGTCAAATTCCTTCACTTTAAAAGCTCTTCTGATACTAGATCCCAAATTTTGACAACCCATTCTCTTTGTTTCTCAATTATGATTTCCATTGCTTCAGTATTTTGAGTTTTGAAAATAAGATTAATTATCTAGGCCAAGTTATGAGATAGTAAAAATTTGTCACAGACACCTCCAAGCACCCCTTCACCTCTGCTTTTTCTTGGTCTGTTGCACATGCCTCCTCCCACCTCCATTACCACCCCCAAGACATACCCCATCGTTTCAGCTAGGTATCAGCTAATCCTCGAGAACAAAATTTCTGCAAAAAAGCATAGACTTCGCATTTGCAATCTTGAAATCCTCTGAACTTTCAAGATGAGAATGAATGAATCTCTGGTAGGTTAATTGCAAGCACCATGGTGGGATGTGAGCAAGATACTATTACGTTGGAAAGCAGGGTCTTTTGTAGCTGGACCAACAAGGGGCATGCCTCCTTTTTCCAAGGCTATTCAGGGATTCAACTGTGACTTTGCCCTTTCATACCCTATTCATAGCCTAAAATAATGAATAGTATGAGTTAAAAGACAGAAAGAGAGTAGTGTGGCATGCTGACCAGGGTTTTCCAACTATCGGCTTCAACCCCTTACGAAATAATGGAATCAATTTAATGTGTCTAGAGCTCTGGTAGCATAGTGCCTAAGGCACTTGACTGCTAACCAGAAGGCTGGCGGTTCAAACCCACCAGCCACTCCTCAGAAGGAAGGTTGGGCATTCCTACTTCCGTAGTGATACTGCCTCGGAAACCCAAGGAGGGGTCGCTATGAGTCGGTGCCGACTCGGTGGCAAATAACATCAACAACAGACCCATATTAAAATAAAAGGAAATTGAATTGAATATAACATACCAGAGTGAGGAGCATTCCTTTCAGATAAATATAAGTGTGTGTGCTAAGACATCCAGTATGAAGTATATATATTTTGTGGGTTGCATTTTAAAAAGTACTAATGTAAACAGTGCATACACATCTCCCATAATTATTTATAATTTGTGAAAGCATACACTGCCCAGTGTGTTGAACCTTTGTCCTAGCCATGAAAACAACTGTGAAGTCATTATCTACTTGGGTTTTCAAATACTACTGTGCAGTGTGGCTAATCTCTAAATAATTACCTTAATGTCTGCAAGAAGTATCATTATAACTTGATAACTCTTAGAATGATTGTGCATAGAATTACTTTTTAATAGTTACTTCAGTGGTACTACTTGGGATTTTTAAAACCATATAAACTCCATAAGAATATAACAGATTTTCAAACTTTTCTAGGAAGTACTACAAATGCCTAACTGCCACCTGTGTCATAACCATCTCCTTCCCCAAAACTTTGTGCTAGGTTTTCTGGGAAGGGAGTTTTGCTAACTTGCTTCCATGTTCTTTCCTTTTCTGACCTTAATTAGATCTTTTTTTAATTTGACTTAAATTCATTTCTGCTGAGTCTTAGAACAGTTTTATTTTTATCCCAATTAGTGATAAAATGCAGATGAAATGAATTCTATAATCTTCCTTCATTTTACTACAAGCTTATTAAGTCACTTAATTTGTATCTCCATAAATACATGTTTCACACAGGTTCAGGAAGTCCAAAATATTTTCATTCTGGGAATCCTTATATTTCTAAGTTTTCAGGAGGGAAGGAAAAAAATGTTCTATAGGGAAGAATTAGAAGCTCTGGTAGCATAGTGGCTAAGGCACTTAACTGCTAACCAGAAGGCTGGCGGTTCAAACCCACCAGCCACTCCTCAGAAGGAAGGTTGGGCAATCTACTTCCGTAGTGATACTGCTTCGGAAACCCAAGGAGGGGTCGTTATGAGTCGGGACCGACTCGATGGCACACAACAACAACAACAACAGGGAAGAATTGCCATCACTCTAGACAATAACTTTGAAACTTTGAAGTTTTAATTTCTCACCATTATTGTCTGTCACAATGATTTTGCAGTGGCATGAAACAATTTGTCACCTGGGGAAAGTTAGATGTTTCTTAAAATAAAAAGCCTTTATTGAGACAGCCTGGTACAAAGTTATACTGTAAATCCATTCATATTTCCTCCTTACTCTTGATTGCCATATTTGTTGCAGGTGAGAGCATGGATTTAACTAGTAGTTCATTCAAGGAGCAAAGGATAGTAGTAGATGATGTTCTAAATGTGCTCCCCAAATCCATCCTGTAGATCATCATTGAAATAATGAACTTGAGAATGAATTGCTGAATTAGATAGAAAATAAAAATGGTAACTTTTTTTTTTTAACATTCTCCTTTTTCTAAAAGACTCCTTCGTGATTATATTCCATCCTCATAAGCTATAGAAACTCATGACTATTGTAACATTACCATGTATGACATAAAAATGCAAAAATGTTGGAAAAACTGGAGAAACTACAGGACCATACATAAAGCATCAAATTAAAAAACCTACAATATAAGAGTAAATATATTTGAGGATATTCTAGAAGAATAAGATATTTGAGAGGTCAACATTTTGCTTTTTAGGCAAACCCCCCCAAAATATAAATAAGTATTTAGATGAATGGTTTGCATTCAGCTTAAATGAGTTTAAACCAACAAATTAAACCTGAAATCTAAACTCTTAAGGGCATATAGAGGGTCCATGAAAAAGGGGAAGATCCTCGACTAGATGGATTGACACAGTGGCCACCACAGTGGACTCAAGTAAACCCACTGCCATGGAGTCGGACCCCACTCACAGCGACCCTTACTTGGGTTTCCAAAGCAGTATGACTACAGAAGTAGATTGCCCAACCTTCCTTCCAAGGAGTGGCTGGTGGGTTTGAACCGCCAGCCTTCTGGTTAGCAGTCAAATGCCTTAAGCACTATGCCATCAGGATTATAAGGATGGTGTACAACCAAATAGTGTTTTGTTCTTTTGTACATAGGGTCACTATGAGTCGGAGCTGACTCCATGGCACCCAACAACAAGGGTATATATTGACCACCATTATTCATACTTAATGCTAATTTCCACAACTAGAACCCAAAATAATGGACATTATAAATTAATAAACATAAACTAGTTTGTTACTGTTTGCATTAAATGATCTCTCCATCCCCTTGCTCTATAGGACATGTAAACGTTTTCCTCCCAGTGTAGAGAGTGTCTCAGATTGCAATCCCCATAGACAATACAGGTCTTTGTGAGCATCGTGAAGTTACTGCCTCAGAAATGGTGAACTGAACACTATTGCCTTTGCTGACATTCCAAAGACCACAGAAAGCTTAGAGAGAACGTTTTAAAAAATAGAAACTAGGAAACAGTAAAGAAAAAGGAAATAGCATCAGAATAAACAGGAGCTCTGGTAGCATAGTCCCTAAGGCATTTGACTGCTAACCAGAAGGCTGGTGATTCAAACCTACCAACCACTCCTCAGAAGGAAAATTGGGCAATTTACTTCCGTAGAGATACTGCCTCAGAAAACCAAGGAGGAGTCACTATGAGTCAAGATCAACTCAACGGCAGTGAGTTTGGTTTTATTTTGGTAAGTGAAAAACATGTTTATCCTTGCTATATGACAGAAGGTGCAGTTGTATAGTGCAAACTCATCAGTCCTTTATGTAGAACAAGTACAGATGGCATAAATAGCCCAGCATCCATGGCAGTGATGGATTCCTTGTTAGAATGTAGTAGTGGTATTAGTAAGGGAGGTTTCCTTCCAGTAAAGAGGTCAAAGAAGCAACTAAGTTATATTATATATCAAGGGTAGTTCTCCTTTGTTACCAGGAGATTTTACCAACATTACTGGTATGCGGTAGCAACTTCCCTGACAAACCTGTGTGGCTGAAGGATGATTCTGATTAGGCAATCAGAAGGTATAGACTCTAAGTCGGCCATTGTTTTTGCTGTATTTCAAAACAACCTCTATAAGCCCCATATTATATTCAAAGATGATTTCAGTGTTTGACATATATTCACATTTTCAGGATATGGTGAGTAATAAAATTGTCTTACTTAAATTTCTTGGAAGCAAAATACAATAGAATTATGCAATAAGATGAATGAAACATTTTTTCTCCTTGATTCTGATTTCCACTGCTGCTAAGCAGTGATAAACTAGAAACAGAACAGTCTGGTTAATCTGTGGAACAATTATACTGAATTTTCCAAACTAAAGAGTTGCCATAATTTATTTGAAACCACAAAGTCTACAACAAGTAGAATTACTTAATGACTTCTTACAACACTACAACGCACTGCCATCAAGTCGGATCCAACTCCTAGTGATCCCTCCTTGGGTTTCTGAGGTGGTATCACTACAGAATTAGATTGCCCAACCTTCCCTCGGAGGAGTAGGTGGTGGGTTTGAACCACCAGCCTTCTGATTAGCAGTCAAATGCCTTAGGCACTACACCACCAGAGCTCCCAGACTTCTTGTTGTTGTTATGTGCCTTGAGTTGGACCCCACTCATAGCATCCCCTCCTTGGGGTTCCAAGGCAGTATCACTACAGAAGTAGATTGACCAACCTTCCTTCCAAGGAGTAGCTCGTGGGTTTGAACTGCCAGCCTTCTGGTTAGCAGTCAAGTGCCTTAGGCACTACGTTACTTGTTGTTGTTGTTGTTATGTGCCGTCGAGTTGGACCCCACTCATAGCGACCCTCCTTGGGTTTCCAAGGCAGTATCACTACAGAAATAGATTGCCCCATCTTCCTTCCGAGGAGAGGCTGGTGGGTTTGAACTACCAGCCTCTGGTTAGCAGTCAAGTGCCTTAGGCACTATGCTACCAGAGCTCCTCTACGCTACTTAATGGTTAGTAATCCAAACCACTAAGGAGGAGTCAGCTGCAGTGATCCAGGTAAGGGGAGGGAACTCAGGCCATGCCATGCCCCAAAGTGGCAAGGCAGGAAAGGAGAGAAAAAA